TATGTATAGGTATGTATGTATGTAGATATATATTATATCCCCTGCGATGATTTATACACCTTGAATTTATTTGTCGCATACATTTGGTAGACGTGTGGAGATGTGTGTGTACTGCCTGAGAGCGATGTATACTTTGCGTAGCTCTTCTTAGCTAGCCAATAGGATCTCGTTGGTGCTATATATTGGTATACAGGCCATACTCTTGTGCTGACGTAGATAATTGCACACAGGTGCCCCTAAACCAAAATCACACTCGGTTGCCCCTATATCACACTTTATTTACCAGCCACAATTGCGATTTGGTAAGTCCTTATACAGTCTATTGTACCCATTCAGCGTTCTATAAATAGCAACCAATTATTTTGCGTATTCTATTTTTTTAATATAGACAACGAATCAGATACTCGCGTTGCTGTCTCATGCTGATCAGTATGGGCGATACCCTCTGCACCTAGCTGCTCGGGTGGGATCTGTGAAATGGGGTGAGTGAGTGTGTGTCTTTGTGTGTGATCACATATGATCATATCTTTAAATGGAGTGAGTGAATGTGTGGTGTATTCTATAGTTAATGCGTGTGTGTGAGAGTTTTTGTGTGATCACATATAAGCATGTGTTGAAATGGAGTGAGTGAGTGTATGGTGTATTCCATAGTTAATCCGTTTGTTTGTGTCTTTGCGATCACATATAGTCATGTATTGAAATGGAGTGAGTGTGTGCGTGGTGTACTCTATAGTTAATCCGTTTGTCTGTGTCTTTGTGATCACATATTGTCATGTACTGAAATGGAGTGAGTGAGTGTGTGGTGTATTCTATAGTTAATCCGTTTCTCTGTGTCTTTGTGATCACATAGAGTCATGTATTGAAATGGAGTGAGTGAGTGTGTGGTGTATTCTATAGTTAATCCGTTTCTCTGTGTCTTTGTGATCACATATAGTCATGTATTGAAATGGGGTGAGTGAGTGTTTAGTGTAATCTATAGTTGATCCGGTTGTCTGTGTCTTTGTGATCACATATGCTCATGTGGTGAATTCGCCCTGTGATTGTGGGCTGTCTGTAGCCTTGTACAGTTCATCTGATTGAATGGTGCTGTGGTGTTTGTGTGTATTTGATTACGTTATCATAAATAACTGCTTATCTATGTTTCTATGTTATACTGCAATGTATACACGTCTATCCGTTGTGACCAGGATACTTCTCCTGCATGCAGATGTACACGTGTTGGCATGGGTCTGCGTTATACGTTTATGGTAACGGACGGCGGAGACATTGTTGTGGGCAATGCTATAATTATAACAAACAACTCATTTTATACCTGCACAAGAACTAAACAGGCACAAGAGTGTAGTGCAGGTTGTGTGCACCTCTGCATCAGCACATCTACATCCACCTATAGCTAAGGTTACCCTTAAACCCCTAAAAGCATGCATGTATATATACATACATCCACCTATAGTCAAGGTTAGCCCTAAAACACTAAAACATGTACGAATGCCTACCTATCGTACTTGACACCTTCACATCCACCCATAGATAAGGTGTCGTCCAATAACCTAAAAAAGCACGCACGGATATATATCCACACTCACCTACAGTTACCATACTACTCGCTGTGGGTGCGGAAGCCAATGCACTCGACCGTAGTCGCCACACGCCTGCGTTCTATTGCATTTGGCAACAGACGGCTGAGGTGTTGAGGTTGTTGGTGGCGCAGAGAGACTTCGACTTTGCCACAGTAAGTTCTGCAGTGGTTTTAATCTTAGGAGTGTTGGGCTGTCCGTTCTATGCTAATATGGGTCTTTGTTTAGGTATAGTCTGAATAGTCTACGAAACCCTACAATCTTGAACCCCTACACCCCTAAACCCAAAAATATTAAACCCTGAACCCTAACCGTTACCACCAGATCGACTGGAGAACTTGTCATTTGTAGTCAGTTGTCGCTGGTGTGCGTCTGGTGGCTGTGGCATAAGTGTTATATATATATTTTAGGTATATATATATATATATATATGTATATATTTTATATATATATGTAGATACACACACACACACACACACACACACAC